TGTGTGTGTGCATGTGCTGTGTGTGCATAATTATTAATTTAAAATGCTGAAATTGAATACATGCATATATATTTAAAGAATTTGTATTTTGCAATCTAACTAGCATTCAATTACACAAAAAATTAATGATCATTGATTATAGGAGAATAGCCCTCCATTTTAGGATCTTCCTCACATTAATAGTTAAGATTATGTATTTTGACTACTTTTTTAATATTTAAGACAGAAATTATTTTTTTACTAATAATTACTAGTGGTTTATATATGTCCATCTATGCAGTGGATTGTGTTCTAAATTTATAGCCACTGATTTTATTCTAAATCCAATCCATTTAGATAAACAATAATGAATGTATTGTGAATTGAAATTGAAAGATCAATGGAGATTCAGGAGTGCCTGGTGAAGGAGATGAGAAGCAGATGGGTGATTGCGTGGTCGTGGTTTTTGTAGGTAGGTCATTGATCGCCAGATGGAAAAGGGAGGTGGAATGGAGTTTGGAGAGGAAAAGAACCAAGGGTTCTTGTTCTCTCTACAACTTTTGATAGATTCTCCCTTAACTCTCCAATGAGAAAGGGGTTCTACCTTTTTCTTTTTTGGATAAATGATGGGTTCAATTATTAGCAATAAGTTTTATTGATCTATTAATTTGAAATTTAAAAGGATAATATAATAAAATCAACTGTGAATTTAAATCAACTTTTAATACTAAGGTGAAGTTTGAATTCCAAATAGATAACCTAATTTAACAGAGTTTTTAACTTGGTTTCGAAGTGTTAGACTAAAACTATAACTGTAATTGTAAGCTTTTTATCTTTTAATATCCAAAAAATATACAAAATATATTTAATATTTATTTTAATTAATATTTTATATATTTTTAAACAGTAAAAAAGACATAAAAATAAAAAATTAAAGTACTGCAAAGTGTTTTTAAAGAGCTTTTATTATATAAGGTTCAAATTAGATTTAAGTATAATTTTTCAATTTTATTTATCTTGTGGATAAGGCAATAATTTTAATTTTAATTTATTTAATTTTCAAATTTTGACTAATAATAAGAAGAAAATGGATAATCACCATTCTACTTTAAAGAAAAAATATTGAAATCTCTAAATTAAATAAGATCACCATTTAAAATCAATACTATTTATTAAATTTTGTTGTTTAAAACCCAAAAAATATTAAAAATCCAGACACTAATAAAATTGCAGTCCATTTGCAATCCCATTTTAATTTTTAGACTTTAAGTAGTATTAATTGATTAGGATTGATAAATAAATAGAAAATAATTAGTACATCAATCATTGTCTTTAAATAAATATAAACATATAAAAAAGGGTATAAAATTGAAGATAAGATGTTGTGGGCGAGAGGAGGAAGAATGTGATCATTAGAGCCGTAATAGGAACAAGGAAAATGCAAGCGAGGGAGGATCGTGGCATCCCATATTAGTGATTTTTGGGTTGGTGATGTACGCAGTGCAGTCACTTCTGGATTGTATTTCTTTCACAATAAAAACGAGCATATAATATTATATACTATCTTCTGCTTTATTTATTACTTTTCTAGATACCGAAACCACAAAGAAGACCTCACTCTCCAATCCATTACCTACCCATAGAATAGAAAAGCAGCACAAAAAGAGGAAAATTCTCTCCATCGAATTTGATTATATTTTGTTAAAGATTAATTGTCTGTGATTCTAATTCCAATTCCAAGCCCCGCTGTCATATATTCGTGTTGGCATCTTGTAGATATTGTTATCATGACAATCAACTCTTACCCTCATTCGCATTTAACATGTGGATATAAGTCTACAATTTTTTTTTTTTTTAACAAGTTGTCAAAGGGCGAGCTCGAAGCTCACCCATAAAAAAGGAGGAATGCACATCAAGTTGATAAGTTGTCAGTTGACTTGAAGGGTCAGGTGCATATATATTTAGATATTTGACATAATTAACCTCATAAATTAGTATAAACTATCATATTCATATATATATATATATATATATT